GTCACCTCTTTTCACAATAGAGTATGATCTGACTGGCATTGTTTGAACCCCATCTGTTGAACTTCTAAATGAAACTTACTGAACCAAGCCTGAGGTGATTGTTTCAACCCATATAGAGATTTTTTTAACCTGCACACCTTTTGTTCACTGYCTTTGGCAYAGAACCCTGGGGGTTGGGTCATGTACACTTCCTCTTCCAAGTCACCATTCAAGAARRCATTYTTGATGTCCAATTGGTGAAGATCCCAGTCAAGATTTGCTGCCAAGGAAAGAAGAATCCTGATAGAGTTCATCTTGGCTACTGGAGCAAAAGTCTGTGCATAGTCCACTCCATATACCTGTGTAAAGCCTCTTGCTACCCGTCTAGCCTTGTACCTTTCAACAATTCCACCAGCCTTGTGTTTCACTATGAACACCCACTTGCACCCCACTGGTTCCTTCCCTTCAGGAAGGTCTACCAACTCCCAAGTGCCATTTTTGTGTAAAGCATCAATTTCTTCCTGCATTGCATTTGTCCATTCAGGTTTAGACAAAGCTTCTACCACAGTCTTAGGAACGGGGACACTGCCCACAGAAGAGAGAAAGGCACGATATGAAGGCGAAACATGCTCATAGGACACAAAATTAGAGATAGGATGATTAGTGGTACAAGACCTAACACCCTTCCTCTTAGCAATAGGAATATTAAGATCATTGGTGACAGGTGAATCAACATTTAGATGAACAGATATATCAATGGGAGCAAGTGTACCTAGCTGATGAGACGGATCTGCCTCGGGTGAATCCGATGATGTTGGTTGCGTAATGTCAGGCTCCACGGCTCTTGAACTCTGCTGGCTCTTATAGAGACGATGAAAAATCCGGAATGGAGGAGGATCGAGTAAAGGAGGTAGTTGAATTTGAKTCGTCGCCTGTTTCTCCTCAACCCTACTCTCCCCCTGAGGAGAAACCGAGAAAAAAGGTTGATTCTCAAAGAATGAGACATYRATGRAAACATAGTACTTGYGARMAATGRGATCATAGCARCGATACCCCTTTTGAGATAAAGGGTAACCAAGAAAAACACAAGGAATAGCCCGAGGATCAAGCTTATCACGAGTAGGGGACAGGTTATGGACAAAACAACGACACCCAAAAACACGCATCGGAATGGTGGACAACGGGGCTGTAGGGAACAAGAGCTGATGTGGGGTCTTATACTCTAGTAGCCAAGAGGGCATGCGATTGATGATATATGTCGCACACAAGACTACATCCATCCAAAACTGTTTTGGCACATTCATATGAATCAATAAGCCATGAGCGACTTCGAGAAGGTGACGGTTCTTCCATTCAGCCACACCATTTTGTTGGGGTGTCCTGGCACAAGAGCTTCGTTGAAGTGACCCACTCGAAGCAAAAAACTTTGTGAGATCACTATGGAAATATTCCTTCGCATTGTCCGACTGGAAGATATGGATTTCCATTTGGAACTGAGTGAATACCAAGTGTATTTAGAATAATCATCAATCAAGGTAATGAAGTACTTATAGCCAACCGCAGTAGGTAGAGTAACAGGGCCCCAAACATCAGAATAAACAATATGAAATGGAAATTTAGATATTTTATTTCGTAAAGGTAAAGAACTTCTACAATGCTTACTCAACTGACAAGTTTGACACTGTAACTGACTCACTGACAAGGACTCAAACAACTTTGGAAACATAACTTTTAACGACTCAAAAGAAATATGACCTA